AATCTACTTTTGGAAGGCAACTACTAATTTTAAATATTTTACATTGGATTGGATTTTTTATATTGTATACAAATTTTGCATATTGATACAAATTTGATACTGACTTTGTTAGAATATATTGTACATATATTTCTAATCTTGTTCAAGTTATTGCACCTATACAGTTCATTTAACAATGTAATGCAATTTGCTAATTCTTGAAAGTAATTATTACCTACTAATTAGAGTACAAAGAAACAAATGTTAGTATTTAGCCATTACAATCAAACTTGTAGTCATTAGGCATGTTTTCAAGGTCAAGCAGGGATATATTTTAGATTGACAGGTCATCTTCAAACACTTCAGAGATCTGCAGAATATGGCATTTAAGATGTTTTAATAACACAGATTTTTTTCTTTTTTTATGACAATGAGACATGTCTGCTCTTGGTAGCACCAATCTAATTCAGAGAAGATACTGGGTACTAAGGAATCTCCATATGGAGTTTATTTTCACTGTGGCAAAAGTTAGCCACTGGGCAAGAAAGTGCCCTCACATGGACTGCTGACAGTATGCTGTCCAAAATGGATAAGCAAGACACAAAACAAATGACTGCCAATCCTTGCCAAGACAAGGTAGGAAGGCTCTTTAGAAAATCCTGCTTCACAGATGAGTCTGTCAAATATGCTAAGCTGTGATGATATTATGTCCACCAATATATTGTGCACCCTAATAAACTTATCTGGGTTCAGAGAACAGAACAGCCACTAGATAGACATAGAGGCCAGAAAATGGTGGCACACACACCTTTAATCCTATCACTTGGGAAACAGAGATCTGTGTGGATCTCTGTGAGTTCAAGGCCACACTAGAAACAGAGGCACGTGTGGTGGCACAAACCTTTATCCCAGCACTTGAGATCTCATGTCTTTGCTTAGGAAAGACACATGCCTTTAATCCCAGGAAGTGATAGCAGGAAGCAGAAAGGTATATAAGGTGTGAGGACCAGGAACTAGAGGCTTTTTAAGCTTTTAGGCATTTGAGCAGCAGTTCAGCTGAGATCCATTAAAGTAATGACCCAGAGGCTTCCAATTTGAGGAAAAAAGATCAGCTGAGAAGTTGGCAAGGTGATACTGGATGTGGCTTGTTCTGCTTCTCTCATCTTTCAGTGTTCACCCCAATACCCAGCTCCAAGTTTTTTTTATTATTAAGACCATTTAGAGATTTGTGTTACACTAAGCCTGTAGGCTGAAGATGATGCCCCAACATTGCAGAGAAACCTTGGGTGACTGTCAAGGCAGCTGGCTGTTTTTGTCCTAACTCACACTTTTTTGGAAGTCACTTGTTTGCATTTCCTTCTTACTCAGATAATATTATTTCCTTCTCAGGTTTCTGAGGGAGTTGAAGATTAAATAGTTATATTTTGCTTGTTAAGAAATTCAGAAAAGAAACTCACTAAAGAGGTATAAGTTAGAAAGACATCAGAAGATAGTTTTGGTTATGTAAATTAGGATAAAAGGTAAATTAGATATAATCCTTTGGATTCACAAAAATAGGATAGATAATGGAACACTTTCTCTGAATTTGTCAAATGCAAATGGACTAGATGTTGTTGATGTATTTATTGCTTGTATATATTGTATATAGTTATTGTACTTATTGTATATAGTTTTTCTTAGTTATAATTTTTTTAGACAAAAAGGGGAAATGTGGTGATATATTGTGTTCCCCAAAATATTGTGCACTATAATAAAGCTTGTCTGAGGAGCAGGGGAAAAAGCCAACCACTATATTAAATATAGAAAACAGGCAATGGTAGCACATGGATTTAATCCTAGCATTTGAGAGGCAGAGATCCATCTGGATCTTTGTGAGTTCAAGACCATACTGGGGAACAGAGTCAGGCATGGTGGCACATGCCTTTAATCCCAGCACTAACCATAGAGGTCTGTAGAGACAGACAGGAAGTGATGTAGCTATGTGGAGAGAAGTGAGATGCAGAACAGAAAAGCATATAGGCATGGGTATATAGGAAGTAGGTCTCTTTGGCTGAGGATTTCCAAGTGGTAAGAACGTGGTTGGCTTCTTTCTGCTTTTCTGATCTCTCAGTTTTTTCCCCCGATATCTGGCTCCATGTTTTTTATTAATAAGACCATTTAGCAACTCATCTTTGAGGCCCGTTAAGCAGACAAAACTACACAACTGTCTCACTTGTGCAGAGGACCTAATCCAGTTCCATTTTAGGTTCCACCTGTTGGTCTAAAGTTTGTGAGTTCCCAGTAGCTTGGTTCCGTTGTCTCTGTAGGGTTCCCCATCATGATCTTGATGCCTCTTTCTCACTAAATCTTCCTTCACTCTCTTCGACTGGACTCCTGGAGCTCAGCCTGGTCCTTGGCTGTGGATATCTGCATTTTCTTCCATCAGTTACTGGATGAAGGCTCTATGATGACAGTTAGGACATTCACCAATCTGATTACTGGGGTAGGGCAGCTGAGGTACCCTCTCCACTATTGCTAGTAGTCTAAGCTGGGGTCATTCTTGTGGATTCCTGGGAACTTCCCTTGGACCAGATTTCTCCTTATCTCCATGATGTCTCCCTCTATCAAGATTACTCTTTCATTGCTCTCCCACTCCATCCCTCCCCCAGCTCAACCATCCTGTTCCCTTATGATCTCATCACCTATCCCCTACCCTTTATTGCCCACCTCATTCCCATTTACTCAGGAGATCTCATCTATTTCCCCTTCCCAGGGCAATCGATATGTTCAGTGTATTAAGATTTTTATTACACAAGGTGTTAACTCACTTGGTTTGAGAGAGCTCAAGATATTTTGTGAGGCTATTGGGAAAGGTGTTGTTTCCCTGATTTCTTTCTCAGTCTGTTTGTCATTTTCAATTAGAAAGGCTGCTGAAATTTGTGTGTTAATTTTGTGTCCTGCTACTTTGCTGAAGTGCTTATTGGCTGTAGAAGTTTCCTGGTGGAGTCTTTAAGGTCTTTTATTCATAAAATCATGTACTCTCCAAATGAAGATAATTTTAATTCTTCCTTTTTTGTTTGTATCTCTTTCATCTCCATCAATTGTCTTATTGCTCTATGTTGGACTTCAAGTACTACAACGAATAGGTACGGAGAGAGTTCTTTGCCAGTGAAGGAATGGATTGCTCATGAAGGTCAGAGCAAGCAGGCAAAGAACAAAAGTGGCCTAAGGGGAAGATTGAGCACTCACTACTAGAATATATATTAAAAACTCAATTTGTCAGTTCTTAAAGAAATACAAATGAACAATGAATATTTGAAAAATATTTGACATGCATTCTCATTAGGGAAACACAAATTAAACCTTCATTGAAATTCTGTCTCAACTTGGTTAGAACAGCTGGTAACAAGAGCATAAGTGCTCATGAGAATGTGGGGGAAAAAAACTTTTATTCATTGCTGGTAGGAATATAAACTTGTACAGTTACTACAGAGGTTCCTAAAAAAAAAAAATTCCTGAAAATAAGGGTTTTGAAAGAAGTCTTAAAGTTAAGAATGCATACCATAACTTCTAATTCTGTGAAGAATGCCACTGGAATTTGATGAGTATTACGTTGTATCTAAGAACACTTTTTGTAATATGTCCATTTTCCTAATATTAATTCTTCTAACTAAGTACATAGTTGCCTCCCCAGTGAATAACATTGTGAAAATTTCCACTGTTTTTTTTTAAGTTTTTTTGAGACAGGGTATCTCTGTGTAGTTTTGGTGCCTGTCCTGGATCTCACTCTGTAGTCCAGGCTAGCCTCGAACTCACAGAGTTCCGACTGCCTCTGCCTCCCGAGTGCTGGGATTAAAGGTGAGAGCCACCACGGCCCGGCATTTCCACTTTTTATGAAAGAGAAAGTCTAATGAACTCACTAAGTCTTGTGGAAACACAGGTCCTCCAAAACAAGTTTATATGGAAATGAGCATTTTCCTGGTATATATATCTGGTTAGGGAAGAATTTATTTATTTATTTAAGATTTGTTTATTTGCATTTTATATGTGTGGGTGTTTTTTAGCATGTATGTGTGAAGTGACCATAGTCAAGAAGAGGAGGGTGTTGAATCCTTTGAAAATCAACTTAGAGATGATAGTTAGCCACTATGTGGATACCGGAAACTAAATCCTTTTTTTTTTTTTTTACAAAGGCTTCCAGTGCTCACAATTTCTGACTAAATTATCGCTCTAGCTCCTGGCTAAGATTTTCCATGGGTGCGGAGCTGAAAGGTTATTAACAGTGTATTCACTGACTTCTGTAGATCTTATCCCTAAATGATAAAAACAAACAAACAAAAAACCCTTGGTAACTTTGAAAATTATTCTAGGTGTCCTCAGCCTTAAGTAAAAACTAGGGACCCTGATAGCTCATAGTCACTCTGTGGAAGAGCAACTCAGCAAATCCCAGCACAGAGTCTTTCATATCCCGTCTCTGCCTTGTCAGGTGCTAAGCTCTGTGAGGAAACCTTAAAAAGAATGCAAATGGACCCAATATGGAAAAATGGAAAGACCACAGAAGTATCAAATGCACTTAAACAAGTGACCCGAAGGAAGGGATTTCAGATGATCTGTCACTCTAAGGGTCAGATGCCATATACAGGAGAAGCTGTACAATTTCCAGGGCAAGGCTTCTTACCCCAGAGATCCAGGTGCAAGATTCAGAGGACTAGGTTAAAGAAGGAGACTTGGATTTCCAGGGGCACAACTGTTAATGGAGATAATTTTGACTAGGAACAAACAGGAACTTCTGCAACCTGAGTAGTGTCACTGAAAAGGGAAGTGGGACAGTTAGGCTCCGGTAGGAGCAAAAACACACCATGCAACTGAATATTAACAACTGACCCATGTCAGCAAAACCCCAAAATTAATAGTGACAAATTACAAGTGAATGCAAATTAACAGGAAATTCTCTTTCTATCCTTGTTTATTATGGTTTGTTTTTTATTTGCCCCAAATTGAAATTTCCTATTTTTCTCTCTTCAAGTGAAAATGAGAATGAGTTTCAACGTTGGCAGAAAAATTGGTGGAGTTGTTTTTTTTCAATTGCTGTACTCTCATTTTGTACATTCTTACCACTCTTATGTTTTCCACCTTGGTTACCCGGTGAGTATAAAAAAAAACTTAATTAATTAAAATAATTCCTACCCCCACCTCCCATTCTCAAAGCACAGACAAACTACATTTCCTTATAAATATGTTTCTCCTACTGGTATTGTTCTGAAATGAAGAAATAGTATCATAGTTATTTTAATCCAAATCAATCAACATTACATCCAAATATTATATTTGTGTACTACATTTCATTAGTATATATTTGTACCCCTCATTATTTCTTTTTTAATACCCGTTAATTTTAAAGTATACAGTTGTCTTTTAAAAGTGAAGTATACTCAAATCTATTTACCTAGTGGTTTATTCAGGATTCTCTAGAGTAACAGAAAGTATAGAATGAATCTTTCAACCTTTCTCTCTCTCTCTCTCTCTCTCTCTCTCTCTCTCTCTCTCTATATATATATATATATATATATATATATATATATTATATGTATAATGTGTGTCTATGTCATATGTATGTATTTTAGGACTGTGTCATCAAATGTTAATTACTGAATGTAGCCATTTAATTCTACATTAAATTAAGAATTAATTCATTCAGCCATAGTAAGCATACTTCCAGCAGTTAAAAGACATACATAGTGGCCAACTACAGGATTGGGCAGTGTAGCTGTAAGAAATTTTCATTATCAAGTACCTGTCTTTTGTGAAGCACTCCTGTAGAAGAATTTGCATTCTAAAATATGCATTGGTTTTAGTTTGTTTAAAATAACTCACTTGTCTTTCTATGACAAATTGGGATTATTATAACATATACAATTGCATGATGTATATTTTCTTGCTCACTTGGACATATCAAAAGATTATTTTGCTTGTGACCTATAGGTGCACACAAGATAAGTCTTGAGAAAGAAAAGGAACCTCGCTCCTTTGACAGGAGACTTAAAAATAAGGAATTTGGACCTAATTTGAAGGATTTGTTTCGTGCTCTTAAGGTAAAATAAAATACTTTTGTTAACAAGCCTGTTAAGTTGACCTGTTTAATTTTCTTATAGAGTTAAGAAAAATGACAGTCTTTAATTTAAATTTTGGTGAAACTTTTAGAGTCTCTTAATTAAAGTGCTCATTTTCCTTGTAATGAAAAGGAAGATCCCTTTATTATTTGGCATTGCTAGGGACCTGTCTAGTGTCAGAGACTGATGCTGCACAACTGTAATTTTTATTTTTCATTGCTTTTACATTATTTTGTGTTTATTCCCTTTGAAGAAATAAATAAGACATTAAAAAAGTTCATAAATTGGAAGAATTCTGTTTGTCAACACATATTCCCCCCACACAAAAAGAGTCACAATCTTGAATGCAAAATCTTGTGTTTCTACAGATGTTGAAGGACTACCATAGCAACAGATACCAGGATGCAGGGGAATCCCCTTCCAACACTCTAGTCTTTTTGTGAATGCTTTTTTCCCCTATTTATAACATTATTCTTAGCATATATATTGCTTGGTTGTAATTTTCACATACAGATTTCACTCATTTTTAGTGAATTTTACACTCTGAATAAAACTTCCAAAAGTCTTTGAAATAACATCAATTGAAATTTCGTAACTCACATTAGAATTATATCTCTGTATTCCCGATTTCCTATTATTTTCTCTTTCCTGGAAATAGTTGTTGTTTCATTTCTCATTGTTTGACTCAAAACATTCTGTCCTTTGAAAACATATTTTTATCTCAATATTAAAATATACTATGGACTTTCTCCCCTCCTTCTCTTTCCATGTTCCCCAACACCACTTGAATCTCTCAAAACTGTAGAGAAAATACTAGAGTCAGTGAAGAAACACTATTGAGAGCAGGAAATAACCTTCACTAGGGAAGAGGCCCCTGTTCCTTTTAAAGTATTTATTAGCTATTTGTGTCCCCCATCCCCAGCTCCCTTCCTCTATACAGAATCCCTCTGGGTCTATGAATTGTAGCTTGGTTGTCATTTATTTAATGCCTAGCATCTACATATAAGCAGACACATCATATTTATCTTTTGGGTCTGGGCTACCTCACTCAGGATGATTTTTTTTTCTAGTTCCATCCACTCTTCTGCAAATTTCATTATGTCATTTTTTTTTAACAACCAAGAATAATCCCTTGGATAAGTGTACCACATGTTCTTCATCCATCTCTGTTGTGGGACATCTAAGTTATTTGCAGTTTCTGGCTGTTATGAATGTAGCATCATTGAATATGGTTGAACAATGTCCAGTGGTAGGAAAACGCATCCTTTATCATGAAGGGTATTGGATTTTATCAAAGGCCCTTTCTGTATCTAATGAGATAATTATGTGCTTTTGTCTTTCAGATTGTTTATATGGTGGGTTACATTTATTGATTTTCATAATTTGAAACATACTTGCATCTCAGTGATGAAGTTTACTTAATTTTAGTGGATATTTTTTTCCTGTTCTTGGATTTGGTTTGCAAGTACTTCGTTGAGTATTTTTGCATCTATATACATAAGGGAAATTGGTCTGTAACTCTTTCTTCTTTTGGATATTTATGTGATTTGGGTATCAGGGTAGTTGTGCCCTCAAAAATGAGTTGAGCAATGCTCCTTCTGTTTCTATTTTGTGGAATAGTTTGAGGAATATTGGCATCAACTGTTCTTTGAATGTCTGGTAGAATTCTGGCCCTAGGTTTTGTTTTATTTTATTTTTGGTTGGGAGACTCTTAGTGAGTGCTTCTATTTCACTAGAGATTATAGGACTCTTTAAATTGCTTATCTATCTTGGTTTAACTTTGGTATGTGGTACCTTTTGAGAAAATTATTCATTTCTTTTATGTTTTCTGATTTGGTGGAGTACAGTTTTTTTAGGTATGTTTTTATGATTCTCTGGATGTCTTTATTGTCTCTTGTTATGTCCCCATTTCTATTTATTTTTTTTCCTGTCATTTTAAAGGTTTTATTGATTCTTTGTGAATTTCATATCATATACCCCAACCCCACTCATCTTTCCATATCTCCCTCTCCCCTCAAAACCTCCCCCCAAAAGAAAACAAAAAATAAAAATGACAAAAAATAAAAAGTTAAAAAAATAAATAAAAATTAATGAAAACAGAAACATCTCTCTGTGGTGTGTCATAGTGTATCACCCAGTCTACCCTTTTGCCCAAACAGCTTTATTTGCAAATGTTCTTTGTAATGAGTCATTGGCCAGGTTTGAGGTCTCTGGTTTCTGCTACACTATCAATACTGCATCCTGGACAGGACTCCTATTGGATAACTTGTTTCCCTGTGTCATGGAGATCCTTCAGCTTTTGTTCTGCAGGACCAGACTCTTCACATGCTCTGGCAGTTCTTAGATGGGGTAGACGTTGGAGTGGGCCAACTCAAAGCCCTGGAACAGGGCAATGGTTGGTAACTGAGTTGGTCTACCCACCTGTTCTCCCATGAGCTCAACATTAGGGCCAGCTCTCTTGCTTTGCCCAGGTTGGGGGAGGGGCCAGCTCTTCTGCCTGTGGTAGCTGGCAAGGGGCAGGACTAGCTCTCCTGAGCTCCCATCCTCAGGACCAGCTCTCCCACACCCACTCCACCAGGGCCAGTTCTATCAAGTGCCCAGGTGAGGTGCAAGGCCTGCTCTTGTGAAAGCTGCAGCTGGTGAGGGCCAGGTCCAGCTGACTGGAGTGCTGCAGCTGGTGAGGGCAGGGCAGTCTCTAAGCAGCACTAGGATTTCAATGTGGCTCCAGGCGATAGCCCAGACCAGGGACATCCCCACGGCTTTTGGTGGTAACATAGGCCACAGACATCGACCCAGACTGCTCCTGCTGCAGGGCTATGGACCCAGACATGACACTTGGATGTGTCAAATTAGATCCTGTTTTCACATCCATTCTTTTAGCCCGTGACTTTTTATTGGTGAATGGAGACCATTCCTATTACTTTGTAGAAGTAGTAGTAGTAGTAGTTGTTGTTGTTGTTGCTGCTGCTGGTGGTGGTCGTGGTAGTGTGTGTGTGTGTGTGTGTGTGTGTGTGTGTGTGTGTGTGTGTGTGTGTGTGTCTGCTGCCCTTCTTTTGGTTTGCTGGTGTGAGATTAGTTATTCCCTATGTTTTCATGAGTGTTGTTAACCTCTTTAGGTTGGAGTTTTCCTTCTAGCCCCTTATTTAGGGCTGCATTTGTAGATATTTTTCAATTTGGTCTATCAAAGAATATCTTATTTTCCACATCTATGGTGATTGACAGTTTTCCTGGGTATAGTAGCCTGAGCTGGCATCTGTGGTCTTTTAGAGTTTGTAGCCCAGGCCCTTCTAGTTTTTATAAACTTCTTGAAAAGTCAGGTATAGCTCTAATAGGTCCGCCTTTATATGTACTTGGTCTTTTCCTCTTGCAGCTTTTAATATTCTTTCTTTGTTTTGTATGTTTAGTGTTTTGACTATGAAATGCCTAGGGGATTTTCTGTTCTGGTCCAATCTATTTGGTGTTCCGTATGCTTCTTGTACCTTTATAGGCATGTCCATGTTTAGGTTAGGAAATTTTTCTTCTATGATTTTGTTGAACATATTTTCTTGGGCTTTAAGCTGGATTTCTTCTCCTTCCTCTTTTCCTATTATTTTTAGATTTTATCATTTCATAATATGTCAGATTTCCTGGATGTTTTGTGTCAGGAGTTTTTTAGATTTAACTTTTTCATTGACCAATGTATCCATTAATCTATCATATCTTCAATGTCTGAGATTCTTTCTTCTATCTCTTGTATTGATTTTGTGAAATTTGGCTTTGTAGATTCTATTTTAATTTCTAAATTTTTCATAGCCAAATTTTCCTCAGTTTGGATTTTCTTTATTGTTCTTATTTCCACCTTAGGTCTTAAACAATTGTATTCATTTCTTTCCATTGTTTGTTTTTGCTTTCTTGGACTTCTTTAAGGGATTTAATTATTTCCTCTTTAAGAACCTCTATCATCTTTATACATGGGGTTCTTTAAGGTCTTGTGCTTATGCTTCAGCTATCTTGGAATACTCAGTTCCTACTGTGGTAGGTTTGCTGGGCTTTAGTGGAGATATATTGCCCTAGCTATAATAGATTATATTCTTATGCTGATATCTAGGCATCTGGGATTGGGATGATTATAGTTCTAGATACAATTTCTCATTTTTTTTCCACATGGGTGTTCTGTTTCCTTGGTCTTTGTTTCCTCTGTGGATTTCAGGAAAGTATGATGGATATGTTGTATGGCAGGAAATTTTCTGTGCACCTCATCGGTGTGGCCACTCAGGGTTCCAGGTAAAATAAGTTTCTGGATATTGGGAACTGACTCTTATGAATGGCTAGGGTACTGACTTTGTTCACAGGAGGGAGGAGGGCATAGTTTTCAATAAAGATCTGCTTATTTAATCTACTTAGAATAAGGGTAGATGGTGAAGAGAGGTCACCTCAGAAAGTCTTCTAAAGTGCTGGGGATGAGAATGGGAGATTAGATCTGTTTCTTCTTTAGAGAATTTTCAGTACAGTAGCTTAGAACTTTTGTTAATTGGGTTGTTTGCTTTCTTTAGGTTTATTTTGTTCTTTGTATAGTCTAACAATCTGTCACATTTATATTAGGGAAGTTTTTCCCATTTACTAGGCCATCTATTCATTCTATAATGGTTTTTATTACAGAGAAGAAGTACTTTAATTTCATGAGATTCCACATGTCCATTGTTTACATTTTTCCTCCAGTCACTAGAACCATATTTAGAAAGCCCTTTACTTATCTTTAAATGTACTCCCTACTTTATCCTCCAGTAGTTTCAGAGTTTTGTGTGTAATACTGCGGTCTTTGATCCAATTGTAACTAATTTTGTGCAGAGTGAGAGACAAGGATCAAGCTTTAATCAATATCTGTAGATGTTCAATTTTTCTAGCATCATATGTTGAAGAGGCTGTCTTCTCCAATCTGTATTTTTGGACTTCTTTGTCAAAACTCAGGTGGAGTGGGTGCATGGAGCTATGTCTGGATCTTC